AAGAAAGAAAATGAAATTTTAAAAATTACTGTCGAATCTCTGTAAGTTGACCACTCAAGGGACTATAACAAACTGGCCAACACATGGAGGTGGGTCAATATAAGGAACTAGGCCTACTGTACTGATATGTATGTGTGGTGCATGTCCAGTCTATGAAAATTAGGTCAACTTAAGGAGGTGGTCAACTATGGAGATTCTACTGTGCACATGATATCAACCTCTGTTAACATTTTGTTGTATTTTCTTTCAGATACACACAGAGGTATGTACATATATCTCTGTACACACATATGCAAACACCCCCCCATACATGGGCTCATGTTACATAGAGATCTGCCTTCTGCATTATTTTTTTTAGCTCAACATTATCTGCATATACATCAGCATTTCTCCACGTCATTAGATATTCTTCATGGGCATAATTCCTAACAGCTACATATTAATATTCTACAGTATGGTTGTATCATATTTTATTTAACCATTCTCTACTTTTGGGCATTTCAATTCTTTGCCATTTTTCACTATTACAAATGATGCTATAATGTTCATCTTTGTACATAAATCTCAGTGTGCTTCTGTGATTGTTCCCTTAGGCTGTGTTCCTACGAGTGAAATTCCTTGGTGAAAGGGTCTGAACAATTTTAATAAGGCATTGCCAAGTTGTCCCCCAGAAAGGGCAATTTATAGCCCTGCCAGCAGATTAGAAAAGGGGCTGGTATTTATAGTTTACAACGGCACATTGGGGAAATTTTAAAGCAGACTGGGACTAGAGCCTCGATGAGTTTTTGGTTTACATGGGACCACCAACTTGGAATCATGCAGGATTCTATTCAATGTGACATTGAGGGGTGACCCTGAAGAGATTTGGGGGGACCCCCTGGCCAGGTGCAGTGGCTCATACCTGTAATCCTACCACTTTAGGTGGCTGATGTGGGTAGATTGCTTGAGTTCAGGAGTTCAAGACTAGCCTGAGCAAGAGTGAGACCCCATTTCTACTAAAAAAAAAAAAAAAAGCAAAACAGAAAAACTACCCAGGTATTGTGGTAGGCACTTGTAATCCCAGCTACTCAGGAGGCTGAGGCAAAAAGATTGCTCAAGCCCAAGAGTCTGAGGTTGCGTGAGCTATGATGCCGTGGGCACTTTACTCAGGGTTAGTGAGACTGTCTCAAAAAACAAAAAATTAATTTTGTCTTAATGAGGACAAAAATGAGGAACCAAGGCCCCAGATGAAGTGGGAAATGGTTATGCACTCACTTATTTCTGAACTGGTTCTTTGACTCTTGTGTATCCTACTCACAAGTTTTCATGAGTTTGGGACAAAGGAGAAAAATGATGATGGAGGTCATTACACACAGAAATGAGAGATGATAGTTCTGATTTTTTCTTAAGAGCTAAAAATCCTTTTTAAAGTGAGATGTGGGGCTCAATGCCTATAGCTCAGCGGCTAGTGCACCAGCCACATATACTGGAGCTGGCAGGTTCGAATCTGGCCTGTGCCTGCCAACAACAATGACAACTACAACCAAAAAACAGCCAGGCATTGTGGCAGTCATCTGTAGACCCAGTTACTTGGGAGGCTGAGGCAAGAGAATTGCTTAAGCTGAAAAGTTTGAGGTTGCTGTGAGCTGTGATACCATAGTACTCTACCTAGGACAACATAGTAACACTCTGTCTCAAAAAAAAAAAAAAGTGAAATATGGAATTTTGCTTCTGGTAATGGCCAACTAAGTGCCTATTGGGCTGACCTTTCCATGGATAGCAAATTTAATCCCTCGAAAAAAAATATACAAAATCCCTAACCTAAAGAATGGGTGATAGTGGCTAAAACTCTAGTAAAAAATCTATACTCCTTATGGCCTAAGTTATAGAAGACAAAGTTATGATGATTCATCCAATAGGAAAGTGAGGTGGAGGATACAGAGAGGTAGCCAGAAACAGGGAGGCTCGAGTCTATATATAACCTGTTCCAACTCTCGGGCTGGCTTCTGAAGCGTGTGTGCACAGGGCAAACCTTAAACAGCCCAGATAGAGCTAAAAGAAATGAACTGAAAAATGAGCTGCTGCCCAACTGGCAGAGTTTCCAGTTTGAGTATAACCAAGTTAATTGCCTCCAAAAACAAATTAAAGAATCAACACTCTTTGGAGAAATAGAACAGAAGCCAGAGTCTCCACAATATAACATTCACGATATCCGTGATACAATCCAAAATCACTCCAAAAGCAAACTGATAGGTAAAAATTGAAAAAGAGTGGATCAGAACGCTCAAGACTGAAGTGTGACAAAGGTGGCAATGTTTATTTTGACACTTGGGCTAAGTGGGCTACGGTCTAAAGGATGTTAGCCGTGTTTAGGGAGGGAGGCTGGTCTTTCATAGCAGGCTGAGGGGGAGCTGGTGTCTATCATGGACCACCAAACTGTTGCTCTGATCAGGGTGCCAAAGACGTTATCTCATCATGGGGGCTCTTCTTATCAGAGCGTCAGGGGCTTGTGGGTCAGCATCTTTCTCACAGATCTGTAACTTGGCCATGCAAGGACCTGATGAGTCTATAGCATGTTTCTCCTACCGAGCTTTGTCCACCTGTAACAGAGTCACAGAATGGCTTTTCAGTTCAAGAGAGGTTTTGGCCACGGAATGGCTTTTCAGTTCTTGACCTTAACAAATAGGGAAACATGAGCCGTTCTTGAAAGAAAGATAAAGATTGGATTCTGATTCCAAGATGACCTCGATGTTAGAATTACCAGACAAGATTATTTATTATTATTATTTTGGACACAGATTCTTACCATGTCACCCTCAGTAGACTGCTGTGGCATCATAGCTCACAGCAACCTCAAACTCTTGGGCTCTAGTGATTCTCTTGCTGCAGCTTTCCAAGTAGCTGGGACTATAGGCATCTACCACAGTGCCCGGCTGGTTTTATTTATTTTTATTTTTTATTTTTTTGAGACAGAGTCTTACTATGTCACCCTCTATAGTATGCTGTGGTGTCACAGCTCACAGCAACCTCAAACTCTTGGGCTTAAGTGATTCTCTTGCCTCAGGCTCCCAAGTAGCTGGGACTATAGGTGCCCACCACAGTGCCCAGCTATTTTTATTTTTTTTAATTTTAATTTTTTTTGACACAGAATTTCACTATGTCACCCTCAGTAGAGTTCTGTGGCATCATAGCTCACAGCAACCTCAAACTCTTGGGCTTGCCTCAGCCTCCAAAGAGGCACCTGCCACAGTGCCTGGCTATTTTTTTTTTGTTGTTGTTGTTGTTGTAGTTGTCATTGTTGCTTCGCAGGCCCAGGCTGGGTTCAAACTTGCCAGATCCTGGTGCATGTGGCTGGCACCATAACCACTGAGCTACAGGTGCTGAGCCAACCCAGCTAGTTTTAGAGATGGGGTCCTGCTCTGGCTCAGGCTGATCTCCAACTCCTGAGCTCAAGCAATCACTTACCTCGGCCTCCCAGACAGATAAGGATTTTTAAAGCAACTATTCTAACAATTCTCAGTGATGTTAAGGGAGAATCTGCTCACGACAAATGAAAAGATAAGAAATTTCAGCCAAAAATAGGAACAATAAGAAAGAGACAAATGAGAATTCTAGGTCTAGAATATGCAATATCTAAAATAAAATATTCACAGGAAGGGGTTGACTACAGAATAAAGATGATAAAAGAATGAGTCGTGAATTTGAAGATGAGTCAATAGTAGTTTTTTGAAATATCTATCGATGTATCCCCCCCCCATTTATATTCCTTCTACCTCCATCAAAGCAGATGGCTGTGCTCACTGCCTAAGGGGAGAGATGGGACAGTATGAAGGGCAGACGAAAGTCTGCAAGGGCCTGCCTGTGTCCAAAAGCCTAATCCCTTAGGAGAATTACGACTCAGAAGAATTCCCAAAGGTTTAGAACAACTGGAGCTTGAAAAGAGTGGGGCTTGTCCCTAGATTCAGGGCAAGGGGAGTTGAGCAGAAACAGTGATGCCGCCTGGAGAAAGACCATGGTGAGGAGGGTCTTGAGGGTCTGCACTGTCCAGGAGATGCTCCAGCCCAGACGTGACATCTGCCCTCAGCTCATTGAGAGGAATGAGTCACGTGCCCCCACTCAGCCATATAGGGTCTAGGAAGTGTTACCCCATCATGGGCCTGGAAAGTAGAAAGCTGAAAATATTTCAGAAGCAGGGCTGATGATTACTACAGTATGCACCTGTGGGACCCAAATCTTCTTCCAGTGGAATTATCACAAATGCTTCCTGTTACGGACTGAATGTTTATGTTCTTCCAAAATTCATATCTAACCCCTGGTGTGATGGGACACAGGATCTTTGGGAGGTAGTTAGGGTTAGAGGAGGCTGTGAGATTGGAGACCCCAATGGATGGGATTTGTGCCATGCTGGCGACACGTGAGAGCTTGCTTTCGCTCCTGCCATGTGAGGATATAGAGAGAAGGTCGCCATCTGTGGGCAAGAAAGCGGGTCCTCGCTAGAACTCAGCCTTGCTGGCACCTTGGTCATGGACTTCCTGCCTCTAGAAATGTGAGAAAATAAATTTCTGTTGTTGAAGTCAT